CAAGCCTTCTCTAAGCTTACAAAAGCTGACGTCATTAATGCGACACAATTCTGTGCTAATGGAGTTTATAATAATAGTAACCCATGGATCTTTTATTTTTTGATGTCCATTTGTATAATTTATGAAATAATCTAACTTAATCAGCTTAGTTATATCACCATCATCATCAGGTCATTCGTCCCCACCAAGGGGCTCGGAACCTATTCTAAGTTAAGGGTGATTGGGACATAGTGAACCACGCTGACCAAGTGTGGGTTGGTTGACTTCACACATATCTTTGAATTTATTCTCAGATATGTGCAGGTTGCATCACGATGTTTTCTTTCACCGTAAGAACGTCGGATAAATGTAAATATGTAAATCGGAAATCGAAAAACACATTCGTACATGTCGGGATTCGAACTCAGGACCTGCAGATTGCGAGTCAAGTACTTATACGTCTGAGCCACCGACGCTCTCTAGTTACATTTGACACTTTTTTAGCCTATTTTTACTATATGTGTGGGAGTTGGGAAATCGCAACTAGTACAAGTGTAGTGAAACGATGAGTTAAAAAAAGCTCGCTGAATCCTCAGTCCCATTGGGATTATTCGCGGGATGGAGTGCAAAGAGTGACTGAGGGGAGGAGATAAAGGGGAATGTTTATCCCGACTCGGAGATGTCTCCCGTTAACTCCCGTATATAACATAAATTATGCATTGGAATGTAAATGCCTCGAGTCCCCTGTCGTTTCATCGGCCCGCTCCCCCCTTTCATTGGTCCACTGAGCAGATATCAGTACTCTTAGATATAAACTATTATAATATTTTTGTTTTTGTGCTCTAGTTTATATAAAGTTATTTATTTAGCATTTACGAGAGTGAGATATCAATATTGTTAATGCCAATACACAAAAAGCAATAGTTACTTTGATAAAAAGCTTTAAAACTTCTAACCAACTAAGGTAAAAGACAGTCTATATTTAATTACTAATTGTTCAGCACTTAGATTAGTGTAAATTCTTTTTCAATTTAACAAGTTTCTTATTTATCATCTCATGGTGGTAAAGATTTGAGGATGCATTTTTTTCTTATGACTCTAATAAAAATATTTGTAAAAAATAATTTCATAAAACTTTCCACTTAATGTAAGAAAATCAATGATAGCAGATATAAAAGAAAACATTATTTTCATGTATAGTTACGAGACGACCACCCAGCTTCTACAGAGATTCTCAGGAAATCGCGTCCACTAGCAGAGTAAGGGCGCACGAGGAAAAAAATTGTACCGCGACGCCAGCGCCGCCGCTGCATGTCGAGACTTCTCTGATTAATGAAACATCTGCTCACTCAACCGGAAAACGACATAAGCGACATACAGTCATACAAAAAATAATAGACTTTATTGCTCACGTTCAAGATTTGAAATTCATTGATATTTTGTTAAAGATATGGTGTTTTATCATGATGTAATCAAGAATACCAAACGTTTCCCCTCAACGCTGTAACATTTGACGTCCTCGTGCGACATATATACATAAGTAAAGAATGGCAAAATATGGATTTATTCGCTTTTGTTAAAATGTTAAGGCAATCTTTAGTAAAGCGTTCTTAAATTAACGAAACTTGTTTTTTAAGTTATTATGTTTGTGTAGTGAGATATTTAAAAAATTTGAATCAAAATATACTAGAGAATCATCATTGCCAAATGACAAACTTTGAAATAAAAGTGTATTAACGCTTTTATGTCACTTTCCCTTAATTTTCGAAGGATACTTAACGAAGCCTATATCTACGTAAATATAATTTTCTATAGATAAGCCCGAAATAGGCAAAAAGGAATATCAAATATTGGAACACATCTTTTGTTTAACGTATGAAGATACATTTACAGTGTATTTGACTAAGCATTTGGGAGTCATGAACTCAAAACTGGAACGTATGAGGCATCAGCTGACGTCATTTGATCAGGGAAGAACGGGGAGGTAGCGGGGAGGGGGTGGTGAAATGGAAATAGCGGGGGGCGCGCTGTCAGCTGTCACAAGTCTGACATACGATGACGTTTCACGTCACAAACTTACGCGTGGCTTTGGAAAGCTTCTTACAATATTGGAGATATATCATTATGTTAGGTAACTATAGGAATGATAACGGATATAATACTGTATAAGTTTATGTTCAGAACTATTCAACATAACAAACTGTATACATAAACAGTCGTTTGTTTTTGCTAACTCTACGTTAAAAGCTAAAGTGATAAAATTAATTTACATTAAGACAGTATCTACCTATTTCTAAAATGTAACATTTATAAGGCAAGTAAATTTCAAAATATCAAAAAAATCTTACTTGGCATTAAGAGAATTTTCTTAAAATATTATCGTATATAAATACAATATATGTTTGAAAGTAATCACATAAATTTAACATACCCAACCCTCGATATGGGAGGGGCGATATTGCAAAAAACGTCGGCTCTCGGCCCTACAAAGATAGGAAACAACGAACCCGCTATTACACCAAATTGGCTATACGATTCCCTTCACGATGGATATTTAGAAATTCCAAATAAGTTTGAGCGAATAAGTTTTTTTATCTATATTGCATTCTTAGGCAGGTAGAAATATCAATAAGATATGGCGTATGCCACAGTGTAGGCAAAGGCTTAGCTTTAGTTTGAATATTATACTTCAAAATATTCTAGGATTCACCAACCTGAACTTAATTCCCAAATAAGGCTGAAAATTACGTAGTATGATCCATATATAGAAAGGCTTAACTATATACTAAAAGGTACATAGTTGAAAATATTTGAATATTTGAATCAGGATACATAAAATAAGAAATTCAAAACAAACGAGAAACGGGAAATTTTGCGATGAAAACTTCCAAGTGAATTGACTGAATTTAAAGCTGAGTTTCATAGCAAAACAAGAAACAAATAATACGATCAAGGCAGCTAAATAGGTTTTTTAACAATCCCGTAATAATAACATTCGAAGTGCGTAAAAATGTGCATTGAAAATAGGTACAGTTCTAAAGGTGATAAGGTTTAAATTTCATTGAATTGTAAAACGCGAAGTTTGATAAAGGGCCTGTCGTATTGTTCATTAAAGTTGGATTAAGTTTGCGCGGGCCGGAACGAGCAGCCGGTTAGCGAGGAAGCAGCAGGCCGAGGGCACAAGAAACTTTATCAAAGAAACTTCGTCCGTCGTCGTGATAGCAATGTCTTCATTGAATGACTTTGATTTAAATAGCTTAAGACGTTGGAGGAAATTCCATTTAGTAGCCTTAAATTTATAGAATAAAATGTGAGATATTTTTCATAACTCATTTTAACAGCAAACATATTAATAAAATTGTTACCGTTCGTGCGAAAAGAGATCCTCCAAAAATTTCTGCATCTGCTCTAAGCAGTGGTGTGAGGACTGTTCATAACAGTTTGAACTGCTGATTTATGCCTTCACTCAACCTGACGCTGACTTCACTACCTATGGATTCGCAAGTGTTAATTTCTAAACTAATATTATTTAGAGTTCTTTAGGAAGAAAACGTAACTAATTCATTATTTTAAAGGTGCAACGCATATACAGTTTTTGTAGAAAGAGAAGAAAAATAATCACTTACTGTTTTCCTCCTTATCCTATTAAAAACTATTTTTTTTGTAATTACTGTCTGTTCGTCTGTTCTAAAATTCGAACCGCTTCGGTACAATATCTCAGATCTGAGTCTGTTTACCTATTGATCGGACACCCATTGATCGGATGTTCCCACCTTTTGTGGCCGCAGCCGGTTGGAAGCCGATGCCGTGACTCAGCACAACCGGCAGATGACCGTGATAGGTAGCATTGTGATCGTCTAATTCAATAAAATCACCAAACATTTTCGTTTATTTGTCGGTACCCTTGTCGGAGCTCCTTAGTGTTGTATTAGCGGCTAAAGCTGCATGATACTTTGAGCGTGACTGTACCTTTGTTCTTGTTGGCTTAGTTAGACGATTCTCCATGGAGATGGTCGGCTCGTCTCGAGGATTATTACGTATGACATGTTTTATTATTATTATAAGATCTTTTTCTTTTCAAATTAGTGATTGTATTATGATAAGATCTGGGATTACAGACTTCTTTTGTTCTTTGCTAAAAACAATAGAGATTGTGTAGAACTAGACCAATTGCTAAGGAGAGTAAAATGAAAGTAACATCATACTTTGTATTCAATTATAGGTAAGCAGAAAATATAATTATTTACAAACAGTTAAATTAAGTTTAGTAATGTTTCTGCCATAGTTCGTATCAATAAAATCTATGTAACAAGAAAGAACAAGGAATAAAAAAAATTAACTTTAAGTAAATTAAAAAAATCACAAATTATATTTTACACTGTGTACAATAAAGATAAAAAATACCAGAGAAGGGCTACTACATCTGAGCCTATTTTTGTTCTACAAAATTATATCTCACAACAAACAACGGTGTATAATTTCTTCTTGCCCTGGTAAAACATCGTAGTAATCATAATAAGAATACTAAGAATGTCTTGGAGTAGAAATTTGGAAAATTAGTAATAAATATTTAAAGCGGTAAGCCACGACAAATACACTCCATGTTTATTCGATATTATTATTGAAACGGCTCTTTAATCTTCTACGCAATAAGTTCGCGTCGAACTTTATTCTCTTCTACGTAAACGGAAAAGCTCTTACGAGTAATAAAGATGGCTGCAGCCGTTCTAGGACCTTTGCGCTGCTATATTCGATATTCTTATCTCTTTCTCTCCTCTACGCTAACAAGCGAGCGAAAAAGAGACAACACACATCAATTGTAGAGACTTTAAAAACAGCTAAGATGTAAAATTAAACCGTAAGCTGTTGCAATAGAGTTTATATTGTACTGCATGCTAATATAAAAGAGGTAGTAAGGCAGCTCCGCCTTAAAAATGGAAGGTGGTATGTAAAAATTGATGAACACGTATAGCCAGTCGTTAAAGTGACAGACTGCGCTGGCGTGTTGGGCAGTGTATATTGTCTCAAAATGTTGGGACTTTGCGCGCCTTTGCCTCTATTGTTTATTATCAAAAAGTGATAAATCAAATGACTTTGCAATAATTTTAATAAATATAAAATATTCTTGTGAAATTTTCGCGTAAGCTTACATTGACGTTATGTGACAGTGGTTATTATTGGTGAACTTTAAAGACCTGTAAGTGATTGTAATGCGTGTTTATTGAGTTTTTAAAGACATTTTTAAATGGTAATTACTGTATTTGTACTGTATCTTATTTTACTTTCGAAACAGTAATAAAGATCAAACAACATAGATCAAGAAAACTAAAGCCTAGTCTGTATTTTAAGATAATATTTGCAACATTAATATGACTGAAAAGTAAAGATTATTCTATGTTCTTAAATCACAAAAGCAGATACTATCTTACTGGAAGAAATATCACAATAAATTCTTAGATAAATGCAAACTAGATCGTAGACTTGTCGATCAATAATTAATTCTGGAAATAATTTCCTTACTTGTTTATAACAAAGTTTTACCTACACATAGTTTCTCTTGATCGTTATAATTAGAATAAAAAAGGATAAATTTTCCAGGCATGTTAATTAAGAAAATGATAAGATCGTACGACGTTTGAATGTCGGCCATATTGTCGCGAGCGGTAACCCGGTGATGCGCGGCGCGGATACCACGATGAGCTCATTCCTCATGAACGGTGGATACCAGCCGCAGCCAGATCCAAAATTCCCGCCTTCCGAAGAATACAGCCAAGCGGACTACATACCACCAGGAGAGTACTACCAACATCAGCACTTACAATACGGTTACCAACACCAATATGCGCCAGTTCAGATTGGAACAGGGTATGGATACGGTGGTTACTATCATCCATTACCCCAGCATCCACCAGTCGCTCCGCCGCCAAGACCGCCGGAGCCGTCACACCCATCAGACGCGGATCATGGCTATGTTTCCCATGGTACTGAAGCTGCACCTGGTCTTGCGGAGCTCGGCTTACGTCTGGAGAGGCATATCGAAGAAGCAGCGCCTGCCGGTAGAAAACTACACGCATTGGGTCGCGAAGGATCACCTGTATCCGAGATGGATGATGAAAGACTTCTCTTAGATAGCCCTCCGGTAGATGACGATGACTCCTCTATTTGTTCGGACAATACAGATAGAGTTATATATCCCTGGATGAAAAAGATTCACGTTGCTGGTGCTTGTGAGTATTTATCTGTTTATAAGATGTTAACACTAGATATAGATTACAAATATAAAGAAAAGTTCTAGAAACATCTACGAGAATAACAACATTTTATGTTCAAATTTAAAGATGCAATACAAAAGGGGCTTGTTAAATTTAAATTACATCCTATTAATATTATAAATGCGAATGTTTGGAAGGATAGATGGATGTAGGACATAGTCTGGAAGAACACATAGACTACTGTCTCAGTTTTTTTTATTCCGCGCGAACGGAATCGCGGGTGAAAGATATTTAGATATATACCGTAGGAGACCATTCTCGTAATATACTAACAATGTTTAAATAGTAGACGGAAGGACTAGTAACATTCTTAATTTTCAATTTTTTCGTTACATTAAAAAAGAAAATCTTCCATAATGGAATTCCTTAATATTTCTATGAGTTATCTTAATCCGATTAAATATTTTTTACGTATGAATAAATCGCTTCGAGCGTCTTTATAAGCATTTATATGAAACGGCAGCCATATTTTCAATCGGGGTAACAATAATTAAATTATAAGTAGAACGAACCAACCGTACTCCCAATAAAAGAGGGTCTCAGAGTTGAGTTAAGGGGACAAAGTGTGGAATCAAATGTTAATACCCACATATTTGAGCAATATCCCTCTACACTGTGGTATAATAGTAATACATAAATACTCCTGTTTTTGTATAACGGTCCGCCATTTTGTAAATTTCATGTTTCACAAATACATATTCGCGCGGGTTTTCACTTTACGTTTTTTATATTAACTAAGATTACTATATCTTTCAAATGTTAATTTGAGTATTCCATAATATAGTCGTAAATAATAGGAAAGCTTTAAAGGAACAACAACATAAGTTAGACGGCTGATCGTTGGTTTCTTAGACAAAAATCCTTCTATTAAAATATTATAACCTCTGTTGTTTTAAACATTATTAGTTAGAATCCTTGGCCGTGAATGACGTGCTTTCGTTACAAAGTCAAGTGTAAGAATGATTATTGAGGTGACATAAACATCAACATTTTAATAAGGCTAGTTGCGCCAGTACACCGGCACAGTGTCGGATTTTCTTCCTAACAGTTCTGACAAAGATAATGAGAAGGATGTCGATAGGTATTATACAGAGATTTTGTTCTCGAAACCAATGGTTACAAGTACAGGATAAACGAGTATGGATTCTGCTGTGACGAGATGGATGACAAATGTATTTGTATACATACATGCATCAAAGTATACAAATACATTTTGTCATACATCTAACTCTTTCAGAACAAAAAAAGATAATAATTACGTTATATACGAGCTTCGGCAGTGGCACAATACGGAATATGCGAGGAATATTTATTATAAAATGTAAAAAAAAACTGTTTTTATCTATACTTAATGCTGTTGATAGACTTCCGTAAGGAAAACTCATTTTCATTGACTTTTTACACATTATTATTAGTAGGAAAAAATGAATTGTTCACAGTCGAGTTAACTGATGCTTACTTAATTGGTTACCGTGGGTTTCTGACATCAAAATCTCTATAACAAATGTATCGTCATCTTTAACGAAAACAGAGATAAGAATATATTTAAATGGGGATTTCCGACTCAGAAACCCACTGTTTGTCATTTAATGAATGTAAATTTTAATATAATAATATTATTCTCACTCTACAGATTCTTCTTTCTATCTTTTACAACCAGTGCTGGTCATATCTTGACTCATGTTTCTTTAAAATTAAAGAAAAATGGTGTAAAATTTAATTTCACTCACAATTTATTGGATATTAAGGTACAATATATTTAACATCACATTGTAATACCTTCAAAAGCGCAGAACAAATCCACTAATTGTCTTCAAGTGGTACTCCATATAAAAGCCACAATTCAAAACGTTCAATAAGAAAGTATTTAAAAAGAAAAAAAAGGTTCGTGATCGATATCATAACATTAACTTCTCTTTGACGGTTGATCTTGCATTGTCGAAACGAGTTGGGTGTGCGTTATACGTTGAATGTTCGCGGTTCAAAATGAAAGAATTAACAAATTGCCAGCAATTAATAACACAATGTTTACGGATACTCGAGATCCTTTAAGGATGTCTTTTGATGTGTTGTGACAGTTTACTAATGGGGTACCATTACTAAAATCCTGCGGGGACGCCACAACTTTTGTTATACAATAGAGCTAACACTTATGTTAATGAGGGACATTTATTTTAATAGACTTTAAATAGATTTTTGCGGTCGGGAATTCGCCGCAGAGATTATTGATTACGAATAGGGGTTTAGAGCCCTTAAGATTTTACACTGTAAGTTTTTGTCGAATATGAGTGCAAATAGTTTGTAATTTGTAAGTTTACTGTTTATTAATAAGTTATAAATATTTCAAATGGTTTTTTTTTTATCTATTATAGCAATTTTTGTCCTTCGCAATAAAATCGTCGTCAACGCAGAGACTTATAAAGGAGAGTGCATATTTCGAAAAGTAGTGTAAAAATAAAATAAACAGTTATTACTTCTTTTATACAAATAAGATAAACCGAACCCAAACTTATACCACAATTTTAATCAACTTGACTTTTTTAGAATTCTTTTATTAGTAAATGGAACTTTAAAAATGGTAAAATGCGTCTTAATTTTCTAGTGAGAAAAAATGGAAGGAAGGCCCAGTATGTACTACTCCATACATCTTAATCAGCCTTCACATATTTAATCCATCTTATTTTATTCGGATTTCCTTTACCTTGTAGTCATAGATAAAAATGTTATTTTTATAATAATAATGCCTTCGTTACATTGAAAGTGTTTGCTGGTGAAGTAGCTAGTAGCGCGAATAATAGTAGATCTTGATTCTTCCGCATATTTAAAGTATTAAATTCAATGTGTTAAACTTCATAACTTAAAAAAAGTCAATGTGTGCCAATATTCATTTTTGATTTTAATAAACCTAGTACTTTCAATAAACCTAGAACTTTGCTTTCTCAACAACCAAGTAAATTTGTTTTTTTATAAGTAAAAACCGCTCAACATTTTACGTTTTAAATATTTTTATCAGGATTTAGTTAAACAAATTATTGTAGGGCCAATTTACAAGATTACATTTGACACTAAATTAAAATTCAACAACGTAGCCTTGTAACTGTGAATAATAAATATTATTTATTTTCCTTAAGTTAGAACTTAACAATAACTTAATTTTTTACAAATTTCCATTATATTTTCATTGTAATGACCATCCAAAGTCGTTAAAATGTTTTGTCAGTGAACCCTTTTTACTTAAAAATATTAGGGATATTAATAAAAATCAATGTAAACTATCGATTTTTCATAATAACCGATTTCAATTCACATATGTTTGAAGTCCGTTTCGATTTATTGAGTTTTAATCATATTTTAACTCTCTCACCTATCAAGTTGAACTGATAGAACTCAAATATGATCTGTAAAATTTGCCCTGCCATAGATTCAATAAGAGCAAACTAGATTTATGTCCAGAGGTGCTTTCACTTGGTGGTATTTACATAATATTAAACTACGTGAAAATGACAAACATTCAACCTAGTAATTCTATAAAAAGCATAGCAACATGTTCAGTAAAAAAGCTATTAGCTGCTATGCGTAGTTTTTGAAGAGACCGCATTAATGTTATTGTGTCGTGTTAATCGACATTAGTCTTGCGCCGTTGACAGCGTTGTCAATAGCTTCGTACGTAAATTATGCACATTGTGTTCGGTCTATTATGAACGTGACCTGAAGGTCGCGACTTGGAATTTAGTCCTCAGGTCGACTCTGTCACAATGTCTTACAATTATAAAAACTACAATATTACATGCTGTTAAAGTTCACATCTTTATACAGTCTGTTTCGAAGGATATACAAGAACGTTTAACTTATCTTTTTATTAATATATTAAATTCGATTATACGAGTAGTTTTTGGCAGGTTATAGCATAGACAAACTGTTTGGCGATGAAATACCGATATCTAAGTTATACTGAAAGATTTACTTATGATTGATAAATGTGTATACACAGCGTTAGACGTTTTAAATATAAAATATTATTTATATGATGAATCCAAACGAATACAATTCAAGTTATCTGTTAAAAAAGCCGTTCAGTGCAGACTCGTCTTGTGAGTATTCTTTGTGCTTTCAAAATATATTGAGGCAATTTAATATGGATGCGAAGTGTGCGATACGTTATCGCTATATGTCACTGAGTGAATATTTTTCAATCCCACATAATAGTGTAGTAGGGAGGAGATACGTAATGAGGCGGGACCACCGCGCGGCGATAGCGCATGCGCGCGATGGTCCCGAGATTAACAGATCGCTGGCGAGACCACACGTTGCTCGCGGCTCTCAGGTAGTCCGTAATTCAATTCAGATTGTCATCGTCTCGATGATGTGATAGCGAGCCTAACGAAGTGAAGATGGAACGTTGTAACGGTAGCGATATATCGCTATATCGTGTTTAGTAAGCGAATTCTGCTACGAATGTATTTTATAATTAAGATTTAAATAAAAAAAATGATCCATAAAAATAGATGCGATGGCTGTAGTTATCAATAATGTGGATTTAATAGATACTTTTCTTTTTTAAATTTAAGTATAAATGGATGGAATTTCGCTGATATTATTTCAAGGGATATTGATTAGATTCGATTTGCATATTTCCCAGAAAAAACTAACATAAATGGTGTTTTCATTTTCACATTACTTTGAATCCATTCTAAATGTAATATATACAAGCTCTACTATAGGTTATATTTGTACATAGAGCTGAGCACCCGGATCAATGTGACGGGCGAGTCAGTGCGACCACTAGAAATCTCAGCCGACCGCACATACCGGGCTCGCCCGAACCGCGGACATTCTCTAAGAAATTCCCCGACGGACCCAATACTTAGTCTCTATCTCTTTTCTGCAAACGCTTATATGTAGTATATATAGATGTAGTTAATATATTAAATACGGTCATCTTTTTAACATGAAATGTATACTAGTTCTTGCGAAATTAAAAAAGTAATTAGTAGTCTGTGTTCTTCCTGGCCATATTGTACATCTATTCCAAACTTCAGCAAGATCCTTACGGCCGTTCTAGAGGTACATACCTACCTTCTAACCAATATCTAACCATCCATCCATCTAAACATTCGCATTTATAATATCAGTTAGATTCTTGCATACCTCTTGCTCTTTATTAGAAGGCACGTGGATAGATTATGCAGTGCTTTGACATGCATGATACTAAAATTCTTGACGTCCGTTCATTTGCGAGACCTTAATAAATCGAAATGGAAATAGAGTATTGATATATTATCAGATTTTATTTCATATTCATGTTTCAGATACAAATGTTTGTTATACTAGTAATTAGTATACGTACATTTTTATTCATGAACGGATTTAAAAAAAATAAGAAAAACTACAATATTTAAAAGCCTTCAATGCATTTTTTTGTGCTAATTTTTTTTTATTTGCCATTCAATTTCAAATATAATTATTAACCTGTGAAAAATTAAAAGTAAAACTCTAGTCATGTTAGTAATTGAATAGAACCTTTTCAGGTGGCCCTTGAACTCGGTCTTTGCTCGAAAAGCAATTTCCTTTGACGGAAATTAAGAAATTACTTTGGAATTACTATAGCCTTTACAATGTACGACAGAGAATTCCTAGCATTTATCACGTAAGGTCGTACAAATAGGTTTCATTTTTTGAATAAAACACAATAACATTCGAACACGTAACAATTATTACGACAATAGATGGATGTTTTCTCTTTGCCATTTTTTAATATGTGATTTATATTATGTTCGCAAAAAATAAATGTACTTACTATATTTTTAGGCCGTATTCAATTGTTATATCTGTATTCATGTGTCATTATTGTTACAAATTATTGTTTTATATTAGCGGTGATTTTAGACCAAAAGCTATGATTGTATTTGCTACTATAATTAAATTTTTATCTAGTTCATCGTTATTAAATTATTTAAACTTTCTTGAGACATTATCGTAAAATTATGAAAACGACTAAAACACTCACATATGTTCGTCCGTTGTCAGGATCATAAGTTTACTACATCGGTAACATTATATAATATTCATGTTTAGATATTTTTAACAAACCAAACAAATATACAATGTTTATCTCCTTTGAAAGCTTACTAATACGTAAAATATAGAACTTGTGGAGCTTTAAGTTTAAATAGTTCCATAATACTTGTTATGATTTTAGTACAAAATAGTTGAAATATAATCAAGTAGAAGTTAAAGATCAACGAAATAGCTTGAATAAAGTGTAACTAACACAGGTTGGCTGGCTTTTTATCTAAACTCAACCAGCGGCCATATTGTTAATACAAACAGCTAATTTACTAGCGGCAATTAATCACAACAAAAAAGGAAGCTCGAGCTTCGTACACGTGTAATTATTATGCACATTAATTAACGCAACGTGCCCCGCGAGGTTGTTACTGCATAAATTATTCAAGTACCCACCGTCCCTAGCACGCAAGCTACCTTATTCAGCGTTCTATTAAAGCAATCTTGTAGTTTACGTCTAGTTATATGTTATGGAGTCTTATTTTGTTGTGAAAATGTTTCTAGAACTTTATTACGTGGCGTTGATAGTGTTTTGTTTTGTGATGTCAAGTTGAAGTTGTTCATTTAGTTCTTTTATAAATCATCTAATTTTCTTCCGAAATATTTATTACTAAACGAACTAAACTATTATAACTATTAATGTTTTATATTTCCGAGTCATCATTCCTAATTCTGTATATTTCCTCATTGTTCAAGTATGCCAATAAATGAAGTTAATATTGTTTTTTTTGTTTAACAGCGAATGGCACATTTCAACCCGGGATGGAACCGAAAAGACAACGAACAGCATACACAAGACACCAAATATTAGAACTCGAGAAAGAATTTCACTATAATCGATATTTGACACGAAGAAGAAGGATAGAAATAGCCCACACTCTAGTCTTGTCTGAAAGGCAAATCAAAATATGGTTTCAAAACAGACGGATGAAATGGAAGAAGGATAACAAATTGCCTAATACCAAAAACGTTAGAAGAAAAACAAATCCAGCCGGGGTGACCACCACGACGACTAAAGGAGCCACACCAAAGAGTAGATCTAGTAAGAACACTAATAACAATGATAAGAAAAAGTCGAATAACAATGGTCGACCAGATAGCATAGAGAATGTTACTGATAATATTATGAATGACTTACATTGTGTTGGCGCGCAGAACCTATCGCACGACCCGGCGATAAGTCCGATGACTCATCCAGGTAGTCAAATGACTCCGGGACATCCGATGACGCCACATCATTTGCACATGATGGGCATGCACGCGGGCATGGACCCCAGTATGGTGGCCAATCTCTCAGCTCACGGATCCCCAGTGGGTAACTCCGGCTGTGGTACCGGCATGAGCTCTAACCCACCAGTCATCAAATCTGACTACGGACTGACCGCCTTATAATCCTTATAAATGTATAGAAAAGAATACTATATTTTCACTAATGAATTTTCCGCGATTCTTACCATTCCCTTGTGTCGATAATGTGTAATAAAGTGATTTAATTTGTATTATTTAAGATTAATTTTTAATTACTTAAGAATAAGTATAGATCTACCAGTCATTATTTGATGTTTGCGTAACTAAGTGGAAAACTTTACAATGTCAAAAAGTGTGATTATTTTAGTGTAGGTTTAGATGTTTTGGATTTGTACGTTTCCTACATGTCATTGTCCTTATAAACTGTTACTTTAGGCCTAAAGTTTCATTGCTTTGTCAACATGCTTGGTTGACGTGTATTTATCTTAGTTACCAATAAATAAGTGTGTAAAATAATTGTAGACAATCTAAAATGTAATGTTCAAAATTATTTCATTAAAAACATTAATTAAATTATTTTTATAGGAATGTTATAGAAGCTATAGTCTTGTAATGGTTTCATTGTAAAATTTTATGTGTAATTTTTATGGGTACTACTAATTTTATCAACAATTCTTTGTTCGCAATCGATACCAATAGTTAATAAAATGTTAGTAAAATATTAGCTAAGAGTGCTTAAGTATTTCAGATATTTATAAACTGCATCCTTATTAATTGTACATTAAATTATGGTATTTTTTTAATCAAACTTACGTATGTGATCTAGACAATGACTTAGGTTTAGGTACAAATTGTAAAAATTAAGTTTAAAAACTAAAAACAACAGTTTTGTAACAACAATAGGAAAATGTGAATACAAAAACCAATAAATTTAGCATCGTATTGAAAATTTAGTATATTTATTTCCATACCCTTAGTAATATACTTATTGCTTATCTAAGAAAGGTATTATATATGTATACTTGCATGGAGCTGTTCAAATATTTTGTTTTAATAAAAAAAAAACATTAAAACCGGCAGTATGTCCTTCTGAGGTATACTTTAGATCAAACAAGACGTTAAAGCAAAGGCTCTGTGAATAAAGAATGTATGTAATTTTCAAAGTCAATATTCTGCGCGCAGTATAACAATAGAGTCGATATCGTCTCCGTTCATTTACTGATGATCCGTAACCATGGCGTCGATATCATAACCTTGCGCGATTCATATCGAATGAAACGAAAGCAAAAATCGTAATGTATTCGTTCAATGCGAAGTCATCAATCAACGTCGTCGGCTCATTGTGTGGCCGCACGCAACGTGAATCTCCTACTTATTCCTTACACGAGCTCGAAATATCTACAGCACAGTTTTATCATTCCGATACAAAGCCGCGTTACTGTGTCTTTGACTTTTTTAATTTTATTTGTACAAATGGAACATGTTGCGGAGAGTGCACTGATAGAATATGAAGTTCTTTTATTTGAAACTGGCTTTAAATAAAATGTCAGAGACATGAAAAAATATAGTTTTACTTTCCTATCGATTTGGAATTATTTAACAATTAGTATTACACCAACCCTCCCAGTACCTATCTCTTCGCCAAAAGGCACAAATTTTAAAACAATCCAATGGAAATGATTATATTTAAATTTAGATCCTAACAAAAATGCTATCTTATCAGTACTTTCATAAGTAACCTAAATAATTACTTACTAAGATATGAAATAAAACAATAAAGATAAGAAAGGAATGAGCGTCAGTGCAAATTTCAAATATGTCATTTTAAAAGGACTTACGAAAAAAAAAACAAAACAAAGAAAATAATCCTTTTAGCAACGCGTGACAGTCGAGAAAGAGTTAAAAATTTCTTGCTAATTTTGAGAGCGAACAAAGCATGTTATTGTTATTAAATTTGTATGCAAATAACAAGATTTTGCTACCGTCTACAGTCGTCTCTTTTGATGGATTTATTGAAGATATTTTGCCGACTGTTTGTTATCCCTTGGGACTTGCTGACGTCTTACGGTAGCCGTTAGACATTCAGCTAGCCGGCTATTATTGTTAAATGTTTTTGACATCAATGTAAATAAAGCAGTGTATACAATATTTATAAATATGAAAAACGTACTTTCGGCAAGAGAAGTTAGCAAAAAATGCTTATAGTAATATGGTAATACCATATTTAGTTCCTCTCAGTAAAACGATGGTGAAGATAAAATATCAATATAAAGATATGATATTTTAATTAGAACATTTAGATATCTGGCCACATACAACCATATCCTATTCCATGTTACAAATAAAAAAGAAAGAAATAATACAAGAACACTCAAAGATTTCTGCAAAACTGCGAAAACAAAAGAATAGCGGTAAAGTAAAAGCTCTGCAATTGACAGGAGAGTCCCAGGTGAGTACCGTCGGCATCCCCAACCTCTCCCCTGAGAGTACTCAAAGGAATCTACCGATATGACTATCCAATGACTTGCTAATAACACAAACAAAGCTATAGACAATAAATTGCAACTTGTTAAATAAATATTAACATAAAGTTTATATTTCAAATTGCTATTTTATAAAACCAAGCTGAAGATACTTGAGGTGAAGTAAACCAGAAAGTCAAGAGTCGACAATTTTGCCTGTATAAAGGATATAACATAACAAGCTAAATGCTGAAGATGCTCAGAGCGACAAATTTCAATATATCGCATGAGACGAGGCGTTGCGTAGGGTCGCTGAACGCCCTGCGTATATTATGCACAGTGTGGAATTCATAAGCGGATAGCGATTAATATTAACAATATTCTATAATCAATTTGAGCTCTAATTTTTACCAAGTTTAAGTTATGTCTTATCTACGCATAATTTAAAAAATTGTATGTAAAATTAAAATGCGACCAATTTTACACTACAAAAAATCGAAGTTCGACAAGTACAAGAAATTTAATTTCATTTAAAGTCGGCTTTCTTACAGATTACATAACTTTATAATAGTAGGTACAAACTGGCCTGAAGGGTCATGGCAACTAATTATATAATAAAACATTTTTGTGAAATAATTAATTTTCAAACGCTTCCGCTTATAAATTAGAATGCATCTTTGTATTTGCTGGGGAGGCTGACGTCGTCAGTTGTTGTAATCTATACTGGAGTCGATTTGAGAGCTGCAGAAAACGTGCGTAAGATGACGGAGCGAGGGAGGGAATGTGTATTAACAGTGGATTTCTTTGTATGAATTGATTCCTTCTTGGATTGTGGCATCCGGCCAATTGTGTGTGATTTTGTTTTGCTTTCTATGAATCATTTCTTTGTTAAAGCTTATAAAAATACAAAAATAATACTTATATAGTGCTTACTACACTTATTTTAAATATGAAATGTTTATCGGGCTAACCCAATAATCGATCCTTTAGTTTTTTTACTAGGTTTGATGGAATCAGTCAATAAATATTCGCGATGTATTATTTAGGTAAATAAAATCAATGAACTCAAAATGTGTTCTATCGATATTAATTTCAGATTACTATATAATTTTGATATTACATATTTCTATTTTTGCAAGAAAAGTTTTTAAAAATTCGTCTTTAAAAATGAAATTATCTTCTTTAGGCGCTTTTATATAAGTATGTTTACATTAAAGACTACAACTTACATTAAAGAAAAAACTGGCCCTACTTGTAGGTAAAACGTATATAGAAAATGCAGAGCCACATATAGTATTCGGTAGTCAGTCGGCTAAGCTTTTGTGCCCTTCATTGGGGCGCGGTTTGTATGTAGTAATGTGTATACGTATGTAATACATTTTTTTATGTGTGCGTTGATTCCCTGACGCCCGGTATGGTTCTATATAGCAGTGCGCTACGAAAGTACAGTACAATAGTTTTAAAAAAATATTTTCAAAAACGATAAAAAAAGACTTTCTTTTACACATTATTTTAAATAAAAGAAATGTATATATCAAACATTATTTTTCCGTATATTTATTTAAAAAAAATTATCACTAGATTAAAATAATTGATTATTATTTCATACATATACGACGGACTCCTAGCCAGACTGTAAAATGTTTCGTGATGTTAATTTTTTATTCTGTTTCTGTACTTTCGTGCGCTAGTATTCAGTCGCTTCGTTCAGAGGGCACGCACACATGAATAGTACACACATTGGAGCGCGAGGGGTGCGCCCGAGGGAGGCATGGTGGGGACTGTATTAAGTTTCTTTCTTTTCACTAAAATAATTTTAGGGGATGGTTTTGCTTCGATATTTTTTCTAAGGGTCCTCGACCGAGTCCGTGTTGAATGCGCTCGACTGTTTAATTTGAGAAATGGCTGCTATCGTGGGGTGCATTCGGTAGAGGATTGCGATGCGTATTTTTTTCAACTTTTATATAATATTTCTTATTTATTAAGATATCAGTTTTGATGTTCAAATAATAATAATATGGATATCGCCAACAAACATTATAGATCAATGTACCGGAGAAAATATAAATATTGAAGTGTAAATATTGGCTGGGATTATTATATTAAAAAAAAACAACAAAGTTATTACATAAAACATTCTTGCTTTTCTTAGTTATAACAGTAGTATAAAAAAATGGAAAAAAACAAGTTACCGAACGAAAACATCGCTTGGAAGCGTCAAAGCTTTCGCTGAAATATTCTTAATCAAAGTTTTTACCTGATAGCAGCCCGCGGCGCGGCGGCCCCGAGCTGCCCCAAGTTCCACCGACCTGTCAATCTCTCAAAATGTTAGATTAAAAACATCATCTTTACTTTTTTAGCATTAGTAGGATCAAGGAATTATATTTGGGTAGAAAAAAACGAAGACCCGGCAAAGGAATATGATTATAAGGCTGCTTTAGATAAACTTTTGACGAAGGTTGAAGTTTTCGGTGAGAAATATCTGGTTATGTATTATTTTGTTATTGTTGGTTGCTTACCTGATACATACAACAGATTTGTATATAAGCATTCAAGTAGAACTGACTAGCTGTCGCCCGCGACTCCGCCCGCGTAGAATGAAAAAAACTTAATTAGTTCCCGGCAATTATTCGAATTCTTCTCACCTTTAAAACCTTCCTTAGACCTCCACGAACATGTCAAGACCAAGATAAGATAAATCCCTTCTTGAGTTTTAGCGGGACTAACGAACAGCAATTGATTTTTATATATATAAAAAACTGTATTCTTTCTTTTTCAATACTAATATCAAAAGAGAAATGGTTTGTTTGTTTCTTTGTATTTAATAGGCTCAGAAACTGCTCAACCGATTGGAGATATTCTTTCACTGGGAAGCTATACTATCATCGGTAGACATAGGCTATAGGTAGACAAATTTCTCTAAATGCGCGGGACGAAGTCTGGGATAACTGTGTAATATAAAATTACCTGATTTGCCGTTTTGGATATACCTTCTAACATCCATTCTTCCATCCAAACATTCGCAATTATAATATTAGTTTTAGACATTATTAGTTAGAATCCTTTGGCGCGAATTACGCGCTTACAAAGGCTAGTGTCGGAATGAAATGAGAGGGGACATAAACGTCGACATTTTAGTAAGGCTAGTGTTGCGTGAATACACTGCTACATTTTCGGATTTTCTTCCTAACATTAGTAAGATAAGATGTAAAATAAATAAACTGTTAAATGAATATATTCAATTAAAAAAAATTTATTATGCTTATTAAAAAAACTAAGCAGTTGTTAAAGACATGTGTTACATAACAAGCTTATTTGTATCGTAATTTATATTAAAATCAACTGTTATCTGTTTAATCGATGTTAATATTAAAACATCATATTATTATAACTAAATAAATTAAATTGAAA